ACAGACACTGAGATGGTGTCAATTGTGCATCCTAGGATCAACAAACATCTGTCTACGAATCAACGGACTGTGCAAGGTATTAAAGATAGCGTTGGTGGTCCTTTGAATAACGCTGGCTGCAATATAATCTTACCCGGTTACGGATAATATCATCCACCGTCATTTCCGGATCCAGATTCTGCATGTCGGTGAGATTGACGCCCAAGGCAGTGCGCTTGCTAAAAAACGGGAACTGGGAAGAACAGCCCTTCACGCGGTGTAAAGCGTAAATCTTTTGTTTATCGGTGAGCGGCGTCTCGTTCGGAAACTCTCCAACTTCCGATGACACTTCGGGATCCAACCACTTCACACCTGACGGCTTCCACTCCCAACCAAGGCGTGCATCCATGTTCGGAGCCTCATCGACCAGATCGAGATTCGGCTCAGGAACAGGAAACATCTCGGAACTGTGATTAACGAGCTTCACCGACATTGACGGCATAATTGAAGGAAGCCAAAAACACACACTGGGTCATTGGCGGTCTAGTGCGCATCGTTTCACGGTCCTATTTCAACAGATACAGTTGGTGGGTTGGCGACAGAAAAATTAGTATGAACCCCACAACAAAGGCGGCGTAAATCCACTCGCCTATTTTTGAACTACGTCGCCATAAATACTCGACGGTCCCGCGGAGACCGGACGTGAGCGGCTAGATTACCACCCGCACGCACCTGAATATGTATGCAGTTTTGGATTTCGCGTGGCGCGAGGGTTGCATAGATCGGAGTCTAGTGTTACAGCCATTGGCAGTACCGAAGGCGCGGATGAAAATTCCTGTTTGGGATGTTATTCAAAGAATTCTCCAGATCTCAGTCAGTTTTGCACTGATTCAGATGAAACCTAGCCAGATCTTCCAGGCTAATTTGTACGCAATTAGTGATAGAAAGGAACTTGCAAAGAAATACTTTATATTGATTGGCCGGTGATTTCGGACTGTTTCCACGATAAATGATGTCTAGCATCGTCCAAACATGTTCAAATGAGCTGATTCTTTGCAATAGCGAACTAACATACATTTAGAAAGATGTGATAGAGCCAGAATTCCAGATAATTTAGTCTATGATGCCTGTAATCCTTTCTGGACAATGGGTAATCGACTCTGATCTCAAAATATTGCGAGAATTGAATGCAACCATGAACTTGATGAAATTCTGGCTCTATCACACCATTCACATAAGTCTTTTGTCTCACAAAACCAGGCTATTTGAACGAGTTCCAGGCTTGCTCGAGGGCATCCAACACCCAAACAGCCTGAAATCCAAGATTATCCACTATGAAATATTTTGACAGGTTTCTCTCTATCACTAACTCCGCATGAATTAGCCCGAATTATCTAGTACAGTTTCATCCAAATCCATGAAGAACTGACCGAGATCTGAGGAATTCTTTGAAACATCCCAAATAGGAAATTTTTCATCCGCGCCTTCGGTACTGCCAACGGCTGTAAGCCGTTTATGCAAGATTCAGGTCAGGATTCACTCAAAATTCAACGGATTTTGAGTAGCCAGTAGAATTAGTCAAGTACCTCAATCTGAGAGCCCAAGAGAGAGCAAGAGAAGTACACCAACGTGAAGGGCAAAAAGAATCCTCGGTAGACACCGTTCATGGCCCGGGCCCGAGTCGAACGGGCGACGTCTGCGGAGTTGCGATTGGGAGGACCACAAGGCGCAGGAGCGGACCGTCCGCCACCGGGTCTGTGCAAGCAACGACCGCACTTGGGTATCTGCGTGAGTTGGCAGTGAAAACCGTCCGATACAAGCAAGGAGAACCCAGGGAAATTTTAAGATTTCTGGGAACACCTTTGAGCATTACCGATAGCCCGCCTTTTTTATTTTATTTTATTGTCGCAAAAAGGCATACACATACCCAGTACATGACCCGGGCCCGAGTCGAACGGGCGGCTTCTGCTGAAATTCTGAAGGCTGCGATCCCAATTGAAGCAGGTGCGGACCATCCGCCACCGGGTCGCTGCAAGGAAGGAAACGTACCTGAATATGTGGGCGAGTTGAGCGGACGACGTTGCGCTTGATTCGAACTCCTGGTGAATGTGCAGTAACCAGCTGTGGGATTGAAGCACGGAAACTCATCGACGGGAGCGGACCTGACATTATTGAAGAGGTGAAGCGAAAAATAATTGTTGGTACCAGGGAATGGCGTAATGAACCGGGCCCGAGTCGAACGGGCGACGTCTGCGGAGTTTGAATGAACTGTGATTACGAGATGCAGAGGCAGACCGTCCGCCACCGGGTCGATATAAGGCATAAAAGGTACCTAATAATCTTCGTGTGAGTTTTCGCTGTGCATATGAATGGCCAGACTCCCTCAATATTTGTAGAAGAGTGCAGCTCGTGGACAGGAGGAACTAGGTGAGAGAGCGGCCAAGCCCCCAGCGAAACGTCATGATTTTCGGATGACGGGGACTGAAGAAAAAAAAAAACCGCAGTCAATGGGTATGACCCGGGCCCGAATCGAACGGACGTCTTCCGCAAAATTGCCGGGGCGTCGATGGATAAAGCTGAGCGAATGCGGACCATCTGCCACCGGGTTGATATAATACACGAAACGTACCTCGATATGTGCGCGACTTTGAGTGATGCGTCCGCTGAGTTAGAGGGGAAATCTAGATGAGAGAGAAATAGTCAGACGGCAGTTAAGAACTCGATCTAATGAAAAGATGTCGGGGGGAGCTTTGGAGGACAAGAGGCGAGCGATCTCTGGATCGCGGAATTTGATCTGTCCACGTGAGTGTCACTGATGGACAGCGGAACATCCCTCGGCAATGATTGGGTGTAAGCTGGTTTTCTATGTGTATGGCGGATGGTGGGGTATGCGGAAGGTGGATGTCGACGTGTTTTCCCAAGATGTCGCGTTTTGCCAAGATGTAACGAGCACATTTTTCCAACATAGATTTGCATTATTTGACAGTAGAGGATGTACAGTATTCACAGAGGTAATATGTAGCTTTCCATCTTGGTTGTTGCAGATTGGCGATGAGACGCGCCGGTTGGGTGGATTGGAAGCGAGACGCGCTCCGCGCGCGTGTAGGTGGTCAGTGACTGAATTGATGGCCGCGCCCCGCCGCTGAGTCAGACCTGCCTTATTCGGGGGGTAGGTACCCCGTGGGAATTTATCCCCGATAAGGAGATCGCACGCCTCTTGTTGGAGGACCTGATATTAGTGAAGAGGAAAAAAAAACTGTGTAGAGATCACCGTTTATGACCCGGGCCCGAGTCGAACGGACGGCGTCTGCGGGCCATGACGTCCAGGAAGCACAGGGCGCAGGGGCGGACCGTCCGCCACCAGGTCGATGCAAGCATGGAAACGCACCTGAATATGTATCCAGTTTGGAGTGCGAATTGCGCGAGGGTTGTGTAGTTCGGAGTGCACTCGCAAGCTAGTAAGCGCAGGACGAGGAAGTCCGTGCAGTTCACAGAGAATCCACTCACGATCGGCGTTGGGTATTTTTGGTTATCGGCCAGCGAGAGGGCCTTCGGTCCAACGAGCATCCCGAAAACTGACTCAGAAGGGAAAAAGATTGTTCCGCGTGCAGATGACCCGGGCCCGAGTTGAACGGGCGACGTCTGCGGAGCTATATTGTCGATGATGACAAGGCGCAGGGGCGGACCGTCCGCCACCGAGTCGATGCAAGACTGGAAACACACCTGAATATGTATGCATTTTGGGAGTGCGAATTGCACAGGGTTGCGTAGATTGGAATGCAATCGCAAGCCAGTAGGTCCAGGAAGAGGAAGGAAGTCCGTGAAGTCTGCAGAGAATCCACTCGCAATCGGTGTCGGATATTTTTTTGTTATGTTGTTCTCGGCAGCGAGAGGAATTTGTGCGAATATCGCGGTCCAACGAGTATTCCAGATAAGTGGAGGGAAAAAGAACCTGCTGGCCGAGCATGACCCGGGCCCGAATCGAACGGGCGTCTCCTGCAGAATTCTATGGTTCTTCATAAAGTATAGCAGGTGCGGACCATCCGCCACCGGGTCGGTACAAGCAGCGAAATGCACCTGTACATGTGCGCGAGTTTTCGGTGTGGCGAGGCGGCCAGTGGCGAACACCGAGTGTGAGTCTGGCAGACTCTGTCTCCTACGAGCGACGCATTGCAGGCGAAACCTACACCAGAGAACGATCCGCAGAAGGACGCAGAGAGCCTTAGCCCGTGTTGAAGACTTCTGTGAGCACCTTTGAGCATTCCCCGCAGCCAGTCCTTTTTTTCACAAAAAAAACGTATCGACAAAGCGCATACATGACTCGGGCCCGGATCGAACGGGGATCTTCCGCGTAACTCTCCGATCTGCGGCTATACGTAAGTTTAGCGGACGCGAACCCTTCCGCCGCCGAGTCCTTGCAACCTCAAACCGCAGCCCGAATAACATCCATTTAGAAAATCGAGACCAGGAAGATGAGCGCGAGAGCCAAAAGAGCGTGAGAGTGCGGAGCTAATCTCACGAATTCATTTCGGCGCGATGTTCCGAGAGCGGGAAACCTGGGTGGTCAAAATAGGGCGAGGCGGCGAAAAACTGCGGAAAGCAAGTTGGGTGGCACTGGCAGTTTGGAGGACCTCACATTAGTCAAGAAAGGAAAAAGAACTTGTTGGCCGAGCATGACCCGGGCCCGAGTCGAACGGGCGACGTCTGCGGAGCCACGATTTCCAGGACCACAAGGCGCAGGGGCGGACCGTCCGCCACCGGGTCGATACAAGGCAGGAAACGTCCCCGACCATGTGCGCCAGTTGGCAGTGAGACCGGCCATGCTCGGGAATAATCGATGGGGAGGTGTTGAAGATCGAGTACTACGAGAGCGTCCAAGCCTGACAACACCGGCATGGCAAGTGGCAAACTGGTGGGCGAGAGGCAGATCAGGAAGCAGCTGAGAGAGAGCCCAGCAAAAAAAAAATCTCAAGTGCGTGATTTTGGCGGGGAAAGAAGAAAAAGAGCGTTGACAATTGAAATGACTCGGGCCCGAATCGAACGGGCGCCTTCCGCAGAACTTCCAGTCGATGCCAACTCTAAGTAGAGCGGACGCGAAACCCTTCGCCACCGAGTCGCCACTCTTCTAACCGGAGCTCGAAGAACATCGAGCGGGAACATCGAGGCAATCGAGCGCAAGAAAATCGAGATGAGCGCGGGCGCAGAGGGAGCGTGAGACGCGATCGGCAGCACCTCGGCATCATCTCGGCATCGTTGCACGCGGTTGCCTTGTCACTGACCTCATCCATTGCGCGTCGGCGTCTTCTGCTTTCTTCTTCTCCTGCTCAAATCCTCGCAAATCCTCGCAATCCCTCGTATCGCAGTCCACATTCGAAAGATGGCCAACCCCGCATGGCACTACGTCCTCAAGTTCTCATCACCGGTGCGTCCTCCCTTCTGTGCGGTATTAAGCGAGCTAAGGATGGGAATGGGTGTAGGCGACGCGGCGGTGGGCAAGTCGTCGCTCCTCGTACGGCTCACGGACCAGCGATTCCTCGCGAATCCGGATCCGACGGTGTGTCTCTTCCTCCTCTCCTCTGCCTCTTCCTGGCCCTTGCCTTCGGTTTTGAGTTAGGAATAATGAGGCGCTAATATACTCGGCGCTCTAGCTCGGCGTCAAATTCGGGTCAAAGCTGCTGACGCTGCCCGACGCGGAGGGCACGGTCGTCAAGCTGCAGTGCTGGGACATCGCGGGCACGGAGTGGGGCGGCTGGTGTGTATTGTCTCTCCTCCTCCCCTCGTACTTCCCTGGATTAATACTAACGTTCACCCGCACAGGCTGTTTATTGGTGTACGACGTCACCTCCCGGCGCTCCTTCGACAACGTGCGCACCTGGCTCGCGGACGTCCGGGCGCACGCCGATGCACATGTGAGCTGTATCTTGGTGGGGAATAAGGTCGATCTGTGCGAGGGGGATGGTGAGTCGTTGGTCTTTCATTCTTATCGTTCATCATTCTGCGGTGTGCGCCTGCGGCGGACGCTTGGGCGGTGTGTGGGGAGCCTCGGACACCACGCCGCGCGCTGCCGCCCGCGTACATTGACCTACGGGAAGACTGCGTCCAGGCTACGTCGAGCCGCCGTACATCGGGCGCGATGGGTGCCAATCGCGGCGTCTCCCTCTCCCTCGGGACGCGCTGCGAGCGCGCATGCATCTCGCGTGCTGGCTGCGCCCCCATCCCTTCTCTCGACTCGGTTCGGCGGACTTCCGCCACAGCGAGCACCCGCGGGCGTTGCTCTCTGCGTGAGGGCAAGCGGGCGCGGCATCTATGCGCAGGGCACAGGACGAGCAGCTCGCGGCGTCCATCGCTTGGATTCCATCACCAAAATTCTAAGGGACGCGTCATGCGCGTCCTCTCCCCGGGGGGCATCCGCCGCATCTCTACCGGCGGGCGATGATGCTTGCCTCCGCCCGCGCGCGCCTAGACGCCTCGCTCGCGCTCTTCTCTCGCTGTTCTACTGACTGGCGTTCTTGCTCCTATGCTCATTCGCTTCCACCCTCACAGACTCCCTCCGCACCGCCAACTCGACTCCGCGCTGCCTACCTTTCGTCACCCGATACTTCCGCCTCCTTCATACGCTACACGCACTCGCCGCCGCTTTCCCACGCCGCTCTCCACAGCCGTCAAGATCCCCGTGTGCGCGCCCATGCCTCCAGGGCCTGCTTGGAATTGTTCCACCCGACGCTCGTTGCCTAGGGACACCTCTCGAAGACTGCCTTCAAGCCGGGTAGGTCTCTGCTTCCCGCCACGCGAAGGACTTTGGTATGTGGTGCCACATGTTTTCCTACTGACTTATCACGCAGATTGACTTTTCTCACTACCCACGCATCTCTGCTAGTACATGGTCGCTGCCGAGCTTTGTTCGAGGGCCAATGTCAGCCGAGTGGTGCGTACTCCGCCGTGCACTGTGTCTAACACACGTGCAGCGGTCGGCGGCACGTGCGATGTTCGTGCGCTTTGCGGAAGTATGGCCCGAGGCTGCTGCGCCGACTGACGTCGTATATGGGCCATCATCGGCACCATCGAATTGAGTGTCTTATACGTCCAGCTCGTGCGTTCCTGACGTATTCCTGTTCAAGGTCGCGGTCGATGCGCACGCATCCTGCACGCGATGTTGAACAGTCCGATGGCTGTCTTTTCAGCTCATAAGCGAGCAAGTACATTTTTGTTTCATATCCTAACAGACCTTCAGTGCTACCCTCGAGTCTATCTGCCCTGCCCGCTCGTCTTGAAGTCGTTCTACTCGTCTTCATTCGTGAGTTCCTTTCCGTTTATTCCTAATGACCTCTTCTGACCATATATGCAGACGCTCAAGCCCCGAGGAGTTGATGGTATACAGTACATACGACCCTGTTGTACATAGCTCTCCTAATTCAATGTGTTTTATATCTTTTCTTGCATTGTTATGACCCATGCGCGCTCCCAAATGACGGAGCAAAGCAGTGGAAACATCAAGTAATAAATTTGGGGGCAAATTGGAGGCAAGTTATTTTGAACAGTTCTACTTAATGGAGGATATTCCCCGATTAGGTCGAACTTTGGGGCAAAGGGGGTCTTCCCAGATGGAAAGGACTGCGAAATGCATTGAAATCAGGCTCAAGTAGAGGAGGAAATGGACGGTAACGCTTCCTCCCGTCCATTTACTTCGGCTACACTCAAGCCGCCAATTTCGGGGATTTCTTTGGCCGCAGAAATACCGTTATGCTCATACTATACTTCTCCAATGTTGAATTCGACGCCTTGGTTGTGGTTGTCGTGAACGCCCGACATGAAGGGGAGGAGGTGAGTCCGATATCCGTTCAGCCGAGGTGAGGAGCTCTGCGTGAGGGTGCCATTGGCAACGACAGCTCGAGCGGACCGATGCCCGTGACATGGGAAGATGCCAAAAGGCAGTGCGGGTGAGCACCCCGTGCTCTCTCCCTCTCACACCACCACACAACCGCCGAAGATACGATGGTGACCAGACCTGCGTTCCCTCCGGAACTCGAGCGCGAGATCTTTGAAATAACAGCCCTGGTTCACCCAGGCACAATCCCAACGCTGTTGCGGGTCGCGCGGCGCGTTCATATCTGGTTTGCTTCGTTTTACCTCGAGAACGCGAGATATAACTTGAATTTGGTTCAGGATCGAGCCGTTCCAGTACAGAACAGTCAGTGTCGGAGGAACTTCCCCATTCTCCGATATGGGCCATGCGATTCTTCGCGCTACAAGATCAAAGCCGGCCAGTTTCTTCCACAATGCTGTCCGGCATCTGTTTCTGGACACATCTGCATCGTGGACGTTGGACGAAGCGGTGGAGGTTCTCAAGGTCTGTACGGGGCTTGAGGAATTCGCCTCTTATGGAAATTTCCTGGATCCTACGCTGCTCCCAATCCTGGGAGAATTACCCCTGCGCCGCCTCTCCACCGACCTATATCGCTTGTTCGATGGATACGAGTCAATCGATCTCACGCACCCAGTATTCACCTCTCTCACCCACCTCGAGATCCTGGACCCACTTTATGATGACGACACGCAGATGATCGCCTACCTCTCTGCGCTGCCCGCCCTCACACACTTGCGCTTGAGCGATAACGTACCTTGGAAGCATGTTGCAACGCTGCTGGCGGACTGCCCTCGCCTTTTGGTTTTGATCAGCGTATTCCCAATAATGAAGGCTCCATGGGCTGTCCAGCGCGCACGGACGTCTCCGATCCACGACCCACGCTTCGTCATTACAATTTACAGAATACGTCCGTCAAGTTGGGAGATTTACCAGCGTAGCCCAAGCACTTGGTCGCTAGCCGAGGATTTTGTGACGCTGAGGCGTAGGCGAGCCATTGATCGTAAGCGTGCCTCTTTCTTGACCCCACAAAGTGTCTTCTAACACCAACTGCAGCGAGATCTTGCCTATTGTACCCCGACAACCCTTCCTCCGCCTCAGAATGATTTGTATATAATCGTTCGCGGTGCCAGGAGTTCATGGTGACTATTATGCATCATTCATTTGCTACGTAAATATTAACTAACATCTCGTCAGCGGAGTAGTATTTGCTACAACGATTCGGGAATTATTCATGATTTTGCAGAGTGTGTGCTTGAGTGCATTGCGGGGCTGATGGCCCGCAGATCATCGCGCAAAAAGTCTCCGAACAGGCAAACTCTGTGTTACAAAGATCGCAGATTAACGAAGAGCAGATGCGGATTCAGACCGTCCGCCACCGACTCAGTGCAAGCACCGAAACTCACCCCAATACATGTGCGAGCTTCGTGAGATCACGTTGGCTTCGGGGGGCGAAATTGAATAACCTGGCCGTGTAAGTTATATTATCGATATACGTGCGGCCCGCGAAATCACCAGGAATTGGGACCAGCGAGATGTGAATGCAGGTCAGACGCTGGCAGCTGAACCGGGGGGCAAAAAGACGCAATGTGAAAGTCACAAGGCCCGAGCCGGAGTCGAACGGGCTCATTCTGCGGAACACCAGTAATCAAATGCAGATTGCGGGCGCCACGATGAGGGTCTGTGAAGGTTGGAGGTCGCGAAAATCGAATGCGAGTGCGCCGCATCACATCTACTAAAACAACGGGCGAAGGTCCGAAGGCAGCTAAAAACTCAGCGAAAGTACGAGATGCGGGTTGGGGAAATCAGGCGCTATGGGCCCACGGGGAGTTATTCAGGAAATGAAGTGAACTAGATAAACACCGATTAAGTTCCTATACGGCTCGAGCCCAGCTTGCGCGAACGCCGTGCGCCTTCCGATACCCAACTTTCGACCTAAGGCTCAATGTGAGTGGGTGCGAGGCCTCCTCACCGCCGAGCCTTTGTACTACAAAGGACAGCTGTAGGGAATCTAGGAGGAATATTGTTACGCTCGGAACATGACGGCGCAGCAAGAGTTTAAAATTCAGTTGCGCACTGCAAATCGGCGCTCGGCATCAGTTCGGCATCATTGTGGCATTGCAACTGACGTCACCTCGTTCCCTTGTCCTCCTCCTCAGCGCTCTACAAGAACCCGCGTGGCATTGCGTTCTCAGCTTCTTCATCGGCGCCGCCGCGACCCATCGACTCGGACGTCATGACTAGTTCCCGCCCGAGCCATCTTGACTACATGGACCGGCACGGTGAGTATATACCAGAAGAATAGGACTAGGACTGCCCCAGTCCTATGAAATAGGACTCAGTCCAATGGAATAGGATTCAGTCCCATTATCTCGGCCGATTGTTACGTTCAATCGCTTAACATGATCATTCTCGCTAACCCTCGCGCGTATATTCTCGACATCGATGAAGTAATGTTACATACACTATCTAATCTTATCTTGCAGAATTTCTTCACCCCTTGCGCGCCTCGATGCTGTTCGACTTCGCTTCCCTTCAACTTCATTTGCAGGATCCACCTCCGGCTCACGCTTGCGACGTCGCGCTCGAGACGGCCCGGAAGTCTCCGTCGGTTGATCCGCCGGCGGTGGTGGTGGTGGTGGCAGCGAAAGCACGTAGTCCGACCCGGAAGCGCTGTAGTTGGGAGCCGACGAAGCCACAGGATCATCCGACCCTCCTAGGACTTTGCCGAGTAAGTTGTGCATCTCGCATCAACACAAGCGTGCTTACCATGATAGTTGGGTTCAAGTGCGGGATCGAGCACAAAGCCCGTGCTCCAGTGGAAGAGTGGCTCGGCCGGATGTTCCGCGGGAACCTGAGGTGGCAAGGCAGTGTCGACGGGCATAAGATCGTCGAAAATCAGATCTGATCAGGCTCAATGAATGAACAATAAGTCAGCAGTTCAACATACCGTTTGGATTTGAGGGAAAATAGTCCAGCTGGGCCATATCCTCGTCCAGTTCTTGCTCCGGCTCATCGTTGGGGTCATCTGCTCCATCCTCTGTGAGAAATAGGAAAAAATAAGACTCCTTACTCACTCATATCTGGCACCTGAAGTGGTGAACCCAATTCTGTATCTGGGCTGCGTAAGAAGAAGAACAAAGAACGAGACAAAATAATTGTCTCACCGGGTATCATGTTATCCGTTTGGTCGGTTATCGTGCGCGTCCGATTGATTTGAACACCCTTCAACGGCCCCGCTCGCAACACCTTCATTTCGACATCGATCTGCCCACGCCGAACGACCCAATCGCGCCGAGCTTGCTTCTCAAATTCCACTGCAGCCCGCAGCGTCTTGATTTCCTCGCTCAAGTCCGTCCGTCGCTTGTCGAGTTTCAACTCCGCCTCCACCAACTGAATCTGCTCTTGGAGCGCATGACCACGTGCGAGGGAAAAGCGCCATTCCTCCTGCCCCTCCTCCCGATCCTGGGCCAAGGCATCATACGTTGCAAGATCGTCGTTGCGTTCGTCCCTCTTGCGCGCAGTCCATCCCGCTCGTTGCTCGGCAAGGCGCTCGCGCTCAGAGAGTCCGTTCCAGCGCTTCCGCATGATACCATCGCGCGCAATTGGGTGTATTTCGTCGATATCTTCTTTGTCCCGCTCTTGTGTCCTGGAGACAACTCAATCAGATGTCCAAATCATGCGCAAAATAGAATGACTGACGCAAGCCGCCTTACCGAGATGGTCGTTTATTAGCGAAAGTACGGCATGCCCACGATGTCTGTCATTCTGTCATTTCAAGCGACGACTGTCATCCGCTGTCTAATACGGCAGCGAGTCCTATTCCATAGGACTCAGTCCTACTCCATAGGACTGGGGCAGTCCTAGTCCTACTCTTCTGGTCACTCCTCCGGCACGGTGCAGCGCGAATCGCCGGGGGCAGATAAATATCTGCGACAAGGCCAGCAGGCATTAGTGCGCTCAGCACGCTGGCCGAATCAAACCGACCTCGCTCGTCGGGACACGAGCTCAGCTGGCTCACAGCGGCGACTGTTGCACCCGAGCGGCGAGGAGCCGGCCAGACAGCGTTGTACAGAGGTGCAACGGGGTTTGGTGATAGGATTGTACATCTCGTCCGCCTACTATTTCGCGTGCTGCGCCTTCCCTACCTCATTCTAGTCCATTTCCCTCCGTCGGGCCCGTCCTTTCATTTCATCATCCCCTGCTGCTTCACACACTCTCTTTGGCTTTGGCCGCCCTTTCCTCCTGACACACGCCCTTACGCTCCGCCCTGCACCTACAATACTGAATCTTCTCGCACCGCCTCGTCGACCTCTCGGGTGCACCCACGCGCTCGATCGCCAGCCTGCCCTCCTGCACGCGTGCCTCGTGTCCTTGCCCCTCCTTCCTTTACTCTCTGATGTATGCGCACCACTGGCCACGGCCGCCTGCATGCGCATCCTCTGTTGCTCTCTGTCCCCGCTGCTCCTCTGCTCCAGTCCGTGTCATGTCTCCTGCTCTCCCCGCGCCGCATCCTATGCCTCCGTCTTCGTCTTTGTTCCTCCACTCCTTCGGCGGACCCCGAATTTGCTCCTCACATGCCGCTCCTGGGATCAGAACGATGTCACTCCGCATTGGTGGAGGAGCGCAACGCACGGAATGGATGTACTAAGGGAGCCTTGAACGGCACGAATCATCCAAATTCAACGGAGCTTCAATTTTTCGAGTGAAGGATGTCGTTCAGTTCTCCACGATGGGAAGCACAGCGCTCCGCGATTCTCAAATACATGCATGCCGCCCGAAGTTCGAGTATTGATACACGGCATCACTAAATCCTCGCTCCTCGTGCAGTGATTCAAGGTTCTCATGTCCTGTATCCCGCCGATCTTGGCTTGCTGCGCTCCCACTGGGAAGCATTCGCGGCGCAGCGGGGCCATAAATCCGCAGTATATCAACACATAAATACACGGTATCTCGCCGCATGACGGTCAGAGCTTTTGGCCATCGGCTAAGTAGGCGTAGTGTTCGAAATCTGCGATGAGTCGCCGTCGGATGCATCTTGGACGAGGCCCCGTCGATCGCGCGGCACTACTACATTCCTGTTTCACCCCCAAAAGCCTTCTCGGACATGTCATGACTCGAGCCTGATTCGAACAGGCGACTCCCGCGACGTCTAACAAGCGCAGGTGCGGTCCAACCGCCATCGGGTCTGTTCTTGGCCTGGAGGTAGGCTCAATAAGTGTCCGCGCTGTGACTGGTAGTGGAATCACTCCCTGCGTTTGTGCAGTGGCCACTCCACCACGCTCTTTGTCAATGTATGAGCTGATGTTCGGCGTGGTGCATCCAAGGGTCAGACCGCATTCTCCGCAAAAAACAAAGCACTGCGGAAAGTCAAGGACCCGGGCTGGATTCGAACCAGCTCTCCCGCTGAGTACTTGTGCGACCACTAGACAAAGTAAGGGTGCGATACCATTCGCCACCAGGTCCTGCTCCTACCAAATTAGTCTTCGATTAGTGCTGTGATTGCGCCGGTTGAAGGCGGGGGAGAGCAGGAGCAAAAGCGTTGGAATGGAAACCGTACGACCTTCGAAGCAAGCTCTCCTGCTGCACATGCACAACATAAGCAATTCAAACGGCGCGGGCGCGGTACCATCCGCCACCAGGTCGTAATCCTACCCCAGGATACCTAGATTGGGGGTAGGACTTTGTGGAGGGATAGGATGCCTACTATTCAACTATTGAATTTGCAAGTGTCACTGTGCACGGTCGCAGGCTTGTCTCCGGATCAAGCGGCAATGCGCCACAGGTGCGCTTGATTCGAACTCCTGGTAAATTTGCAGTAACCAGCTGTGGGATTAAAACGAGGAAGCTCATCGAAGCTGGTTGGAGGAGCCGTCAGCTGGGGGTGATGTGGAACAAGCGAAGAAAAAAATTGAACGTACAGCGTGGTCATCCATGACTTCGGCTTGAGTCGAAAAGGCATCTTCCGGAGGATTCCTTTTTGTCTGCGTGCGATGGAAAGCTGAGCAGATGCGGGCCATCCGCCACCGGGTCGGTATAATGCACGAAGCGTGCTCAATCCGTGCGCGACTTTTGAGTGAGTATCCTTCCGAAGATGGCGTGCGATGAGTAAGAGAGCGCCACTGCATGAGAGAGAAATAGTCAGGATCCAGCTAAGAACTCGGTCAAATGAAAAAATGTCGAGGGGAGCTTTGGAGGACCTGACAAAGAGGCCAAGAGGGGGAAAGAATAAAAAGAGTCGCCGAAGGGCTCATGACCCGGGTCTGAATCGAACGGGCGGCTTCTGCTGAAATTCTGAGGGCTGCGATCCTAATTGAAGCAGGTGCGGACCATCCGCCACCGGGTCGCTGCAAGGAAGGAAACGTACCTGAATATGTGGGCGAGTTGAGCGGACGACGTTGCGCTTGATTCGAACTCCTGGTGAATGTGCAGTAACCAGCTGTGGGATTGAAGCACGGAAACTCATCGGAGTTGGTTGGAGGAGCCGTCAGCTAGGGGTGATGTGGACCAAGCGAGGAGAAAAATGGAACGTACTGCGGGGCCATCTATGACCCGGGCCCGAGTTGAACGGGCGTCCTCCGCAGAATTGCTGGAGCGTCGATGGATAAAGCTGAGCAGATGCGGACCATCCGCCACCGGGTCTATACATGGTTTAACACGTACTTAATTATCTGCGCGAGTTTTCAGTCAGCACGATGAGGCTCCGTGAACACTGACGGGGGTTGCGAAAATAGCTAACCCATTACAGCAGAGGTGGGTTGCATCCTGGACGCCCGGGAAACCAGAAGAGAGGGCTGAGACCACAGCAAAATCAGAAGAATTTCAGACGACGGGAACTGAAGAAGAAAAGAGGAAGTCGAACGGATAGTCGGAGACTTATGACCCGGGCCCGAATCGAACGGGCGTCTTCCGCGGAATAAGCTTTAGGAAAGTTGAGCGGACGCGGGCGATTCGCCACCGGGTCGATGCACGTATGGAATCGATCCCGAATACGTGTGCATGTTCAGAGTGCGAATGGCACAGGGTTGCGTAGACTGGAGCGCAAGAGAGCCAGGAGGCCTAGGAGTCCAGTGTCAAGCACTTTATGCAAGATTCGGGTCAAGATTCTTCCGTTGAATTTGAGTAGCCAGTAGAATTAACCAAGAATTAACCAAGTACCTCAATCTGAGAGCAGCAGTACACTAACGGGCCGGGAAAAAGGATCGTCCTTAGCAGAGCATGACCCAGGCCCGAGTCGAACGGGCGACTTCCGCAGAACTTTCCTGTCTCCCGAAAGGCTGAGCGGACGCGGACCATCCGCCACCAGGTCGATATAATGCACGAAACGTACCTCAATCCGTGCGCGCCTCTTGGGAGTATTCTTCCAAGACTGCATCCAATGAGGTAGGGAGCGAAACTGCATGAGAGAGAGATAGTCAGGAGGGAGCTAAGAACTCAGTGCAGTGAGAGGATGTCGGGGGGGACAGGAGCGGACCGTACGTTGTAAAGAGATGAAGGAAAAGAGTGGATGGACTGAACATAGGGACCCGGGCCCGAATCGAATGGGCGACGTCTGTTTGCATGACTTGGGAGTCCGGCACGAGATGCAGAGGCGGCCCGTCCGCCACCGGGTCGATGCAAGCAACGAAACGTACTTGGGTGCCTGCGCGAGTGTTCATTGCGAACGGTTAGGCTTCGTGAAGGCGACGTCTTGAATATCGAGTACGGGTCCGTCGAAGACAACACTCGCATCGCAGGCCAACTGGATGAGAGGCAAAGCAGCAAGCAGCTGAGGACCCAGTAAGATAAGGGGATTGATTTTGGAGGAAATGGGAGCCAAAGAGCAGACGCCGGGTAAAAGAAAGCATTTTGGAGCTTGATCCATGACCCGGGCCCGAGTCGAACGGGCGACTTCCGCAGAATCTGTATGTCTCCCGAAAAGCTGAGCGGACGCGGCCCATCCGCCACCCGGTCGGTATAATGCACGAAGCGTACCTCAATATATATGTGCGCGACCTTCGAGTGAGTACTGTTCCAAGATTGCGTGCAATGAGTTGGAGAGCCAGACTGCCTCAGAGAGCAATTGTCACGAGGCAGCTAAGAACTCAGTCAAATGAGAAGACATCGAGGGGAGCTTTGGAGGACCTGACATTGGTCAAGAAGGGACTAAACACATCATGCATCACCCTGCATGACCCGGGCCCGAATCGAAGGGGCGGATTTATCTGCCGGGGTTGGAAAGCTGAGTAGACGCGGACCAACCGCCAACGGGTCGATATAATGCTCCAAACCCACCTGAATGTGTGCCCGAGGTTCCAGTCCGGACGGTCAGACTTCGCCAGATTATTTGACTAGACAATACCGTAGAAGTAGCAGCGACGAACTCAGCAGGAGCAAGTTCCCGGAGGGGAGAATAGACCTGTGAACGTCATTGCGAAGGGGAGCCGGTGACAAAAAAAAAGAGAAGCGATCCACGAATATCATGACCCAGGCCCGAATCGAACAGGCGTCTGCCGCATGAATTCGTACAAAACTACTTCGTGAAGCTGAACGGATGCGGACCTTCCGCCACTGGGTCGATACCAGGTATCAAACTCACCTCAATGTATGCGTGAGTCTTTAGTGACCACAACGCGGTTCCGTAAAGATGCGACTTGCCGTTTTCTCCTCTGGAATGTATAATGGGCAATGCTCACAAGGATGATGCAGAGCTGCAGCCGGACCGGAAGTCAGATCGATCGAGCGGGAATGAGCTACCAGCTCGATCGTCGCAGCATCCGAGGACCGTTGTCTCCTTCCTTGCTGGGGGAATTTGTAGGCGCCGGGGGGAGGTTGAAGCCAGAGCTTAGAGACCATCGCACAAAGATTTCGGACGAGGCGTAGTGGTCAAAAGAAAGAAGAAGAAAATCCCCCCATGACTCGGGCCCGAATCGAACGGGCAGCTTCCGCATGACTTCATACGGTTCTGGCCGAGGAATGCTGAACCGTCCGCCTCCGAGTCTGTGCATGGTCTGGAACGCAGCTGAATATACAGTATGCGGTAGCTCGGCGAGCACTGAGATCAAGCTACGTTGCGGTGTCGTGAATAGAGTGTGAATTCAACTGAGTAAGTTGGATTTAGCTTGATGTACCTCAGGAAGCGTACTGAAGCCGGACAGTACCTACCAGGATCAGATCAGAGCAGCCGGTGAGGAACACAAAAAAACTCAAAGCCCGTCATGACCCAGGCCCGAGTCGAACGGGCGCCCTCTGCGTACAGCGACATATACCACGATTAACATGCCGCAGATGCGGACCGTCCGCCACCGGGTCGATAGAAGTACAGAAACTCACTTGAATATGTGCACGAGTTCCAGTCTAAGTAGCAAGGTTTCGTGAAGGGAGGAACGTCCCATACAGAAGAGGCATTGCAGAGGATCAAAGGAGACGAGAGCGAGAGTAGAACAAGGGGTTGAGGACCCAGCGAACGAGGATATGTACGGATGCGCCTGTGTCAAGGCACAAAAAAGCGAGAGGAATTCGAAAAGGAAGCTGCGAATCCCATGGCTCGGGCCCGAATCGAACGGGCGCCTTCCGCGGTAGAAGTGATCTAGCCAAATCTGAGCTGAGCGGACGCGAAACCCTTCGCCACCGAGTCCTACAACTTCCGCCCAGAAGACGAATAATGCAGCGAGAAAAAGGAAGGAGATGAGAGCGGGAGCAGAGAGAGCGTGAGACTGATCGGCATCCCTTCGGCATCGCGCTCGCCTTGCCACTGCCAGTGACTAACCCTCTTTCTCTTTGTCTCCTCTCCAAATGCTCAAAGTCTCCATTTAATCGTACAAGATGCCCACTCTGGCACTGCGTCCTCAAGTTCATCATCACCGGTGCGCCCTCTTTTTTCTGTGGGCAAAGAAGGAGAAGGATGGGATGGATGTAGGCGACGTAGCGGTGGGCAAGTCGTCGCTGCTGGTGCGCCTGAGGGACCAGCGCTGCCTCGCAACTCTGGGTCCGACGGTGCGTCTTCTCTCTTCGCGAAATGGCATACTGCAGGCGCGCTGTCACGCTTGGGCTCCACCTCGGCGTCGAATTCGGGTCGAAGCTGCTGACGCTGCCCGACGCGGAGGGCACGGTCGTCAAGCTGCAGTGCTGGGACATCGCGGGCACGGAGTGGGGCGGCTGGTGTGTATTGTCTCTCCTCCTGCTTTCCTCCTTCGCCTTCCTTCGTGTATCTCATACTGCATCTGCCAGGTTGTTTACTAGTCTACGACGTCACCTCCCGGCGCTCCTGCGCACCTGGCTCGCGGACGTACCCGTCCACGCCGACGGGCATGTGAGTTGTCTATTGGCGGGAAATAAAGTGGATTTGTGGGGATCGTGCGTGTTTCGTTTTTCGTTGTGCTTGTGTCTGGAGTGTCTTCTGCGTCTCTGATTATGTTTGGAGTGGAGGGTCCGTCTTGCATCTGTGGTCTGCACTCGGGTGATGTGTGTGGAGGCTCGCGCAAGC